GTCGTGCATGGTGGACTCAAAAGGAGTAGCGCTGGTCGATGTAGTCTGACCAACTTCAAGGCTTGAGCTCGATCTTGAGGAAGTCGAAAATCAAAGCCTGTGACCAAGTCTAAGGCTTCGCCAATGTGCCATGGTGGTCTCACTTTGTTCTTCCAATTCTGCTTCTGGGCTTCCAGCGTCAGTCTTGGTGGGCTGTAAATTTCCATCGCATCAACTCCATGCTTGTCGTTGATGCTCCTCTCAATGAAGATCTTGACGCCACGTGGGATGGCTTTGGCGGGTTGATTCCAGTCAAGATCATGAGCCAAGGAGCTTGTAGTGCGTGTAGTTGGATATACCCAACAAAATGAAGGGTATTGACGTGCAAAAACTTGAAGAAAATCATCTGTCTCTGAATTCCATCGCTGCTGTTGCCATATTTCATTCTTCTCATCAGTACAAAAGAAAAGGTGGGTCGGCTGACCCAAAAGGCAAGGAAGGTGCTCAAAACAGTGCTTCCAGTTCTGTGCATCAGGGGACTGGTAGGTGAACTTGTCCCCAATGTAGCGCTCACCGGTAGACCGGTAGTAGGGCTCGTTCACCTCGTAGTGACGTGTCATCAGCTCAGGAACTTCGTCCGGTGTTGCTGGCAAGTGACGTGTGCTGTCCACCGAGTTGGCGGCAGCTGCAAAAGAGCGCAAAAGAATCATAGCCATTTGACAAAGGCGCGGCTCCTTAGAAGCTAAGTGATGTGAATGCACCAGCTGAGCCTTCAATTTCACTGGTTGTGCATCTGGTCGAACTGCTCCTGGGTCCAATTCGGGCCATGTACCGCTTCCACTTCCTGGATCTTCACCTCTTCGTAGTTCATCATGGCGTCCTCCCATTCGGACTGACTGATCCCGGTGGGCGACATCTCGTCCATGTTCAACTGAAAGCGCTCTGGGCTTGGGATCTGTCCTTAAGAACGGAGGCCTGGAAGAGCAATCAACCCACTCATCTCATCGGCTGATCGACTTGGCCTCGCCGTTGAAAAGCTTTGACACGGAGGTGCCATGCCCATCTGAAGTCCAGTGTGTGGTGCAATCGGCAACTGGTCGCTGTCCTTGACCTTGATCTCCCGATTCTGCCCTTGAAGGTCCTGACGGTACCTTGGTGGAGGCACTTCTTTCGGGTAGGCTTGTTTGCTGCGCTTGCCCTTGACTGGTTCGACCACCAAGGAAGTCGAGGAGCTTGATTGCGAAGTTTCCAATCGTTCCCATCTTGCCCCGCATTGCAGGCAAGTGAACCAGAAGTGGCCACGACCGGCGCGATGTGTCAGGTAGTCCGGATCGTGCTCGCAATCCTCCACGGCATAGTTCCATTCTTTTTCGGCAACCGATCTGGACAAAGGTTTGCCGATGCCCACGCGGACTTTGGCTTCTGGATCCAAGCCTTTGTTCTTCTTGCGCTTGTTCTCGAGGGGCTTGGTCTCCTCCGGCTCCGGAATCCTCTGAGTCAAGTATTCCATCAACATCTCTTGTCGGGTGTTTCGGAGGAGCATGAGGATGGTAATGATCATCCTCTTCCAAGCCTGACATGCTCGCTGTTCGCGAGCGGTTGACCTCGTATAGGCGATGTCGTCGAATTGGATGGCTCGGCCAGGACCTTGGCAGCTCGGTCCCGGAGAGAGGCCATCGGTGGCACCTGAAGCGATCTTGAGCCACCTGTGATCTGAGCCAACAAACGAAGAAGGACTTGACGAATCGCTCAAAAGGTTCACACAATGCTCTGTCGGTTCAACTGCATGCAAACGCTCATCAGCTGTCATGTCAAAAACCTGAGCTGCTCTGATTGTCTTGGGAGGCCCGACCGTTGCATCGGCAGTGGGGCCAAAGGTGGCAGCCTTGCAGCATCGAGCATCGCTGAGAAGGTGGTTTGTCGAACCGGAATCTTGGTGGGATAGTTCCTTCATAGTTTGGGGAATAGCTGAACATGTAGTAGAAGATGTCCCCAGAGTTGATGGTGTCCCGGAAATAGTGGTGGTGAAGGAAGTAGACGCACCTGGTGTCCCATCCTGCTCAACAAAACGAACCTTCTTTTCAGCACACAGTTCACGCTTCTCGTGAGCGCGACCGTGAAAAGTCTCTGCGTTCGTCCTGGAGCTCCACGAGCGACTGTTGGAAGGGGCCGGCAACGAAGCAAAAGCGCTCGAAATGTCAGGGCTGCAGCTATCAACAGTCATGACAACATCCGACTCTCCCCCCAAAATCCTGTCAGCCAACGCACCAATGGATGAAGCAAAAATGACTGAACCGTGGTAAGGCTGTAGCAACGAGCGACTTGCGGACCATGACTGCCAACGATCACGCACAACCATCTGATGGCCGTCAGTCAATGTTGCATACGTCAACCTTTCTGGCTCCAGCTCATGCTCAAAATGTTTGAGCGCACTGCATTGTGATGGCAACAACTATGTATGGCGCTCCGGCACGTCTTGTACATGCGTCAACACATCATTGCGTAACAACCAAACTGAAACACAATCCTGAGGTTGTAGCCAAAAGGACGTGGTCCGGTTGGCAGGACTCTGCCTAGGAATCTCAAAAAGGATCAATGGCGGGATCCTTCCGGTGCTGAACCGGGAGACTCCACTTGTTGTCGGCGAAGTTGAGGATGCTTGTGGCTCGATGGCGGGTTGGCAACCGGCGCATGGGTGCAGTATTACCATTGCCGGCCACCAAAAGGTCCCGCTTGGTATCTATTGTCGCTTCAATCGTCTCGAGGAACGAAATGGGCAGAAGTGGTGGAGTGGCACAGTCATTGGAATCCTTCAGAACCGTAAAGCGAACGACCCCATTGATGCCAGCAACCCCGATGGGGATTTCAACCAGGCACTCCACTGCCGCCTGGCCACCAATTCCACCTCACCTGCAGTGGGGAGGGGCATCAAAGGGTCAACTTTCAAGGTCTGCAATCCATGCTTCTTCAACTCTTGTTGTAATGATTGCAATGCACGTGTGCCAATCACCGCTTCTTCTGCTGCTGTATCAACCAATGCTTCACCTGGTGTGCAAACAACTCCTGCATACACTGAAATGCGAGCCGCTTGCATTGCACGCATGAAAACCTGTGGATTCTGACCTGGCAATGGACGCATGGAAAACTGCATGTATTGCTGAGTTGCAAACGACTGTTGTCCATTGTTCACAACAAACTGTTGTTGTCGTCTGGTGGAGGCTGATGTACTTGAAGAACCTGCTCCACGGGAGCTCAAAGGACAGTTCTTTGAGAAGTGTCCCAACTCCTGACAATTCCAACAACGTGTTCGTTGCTCCAGATCATCCTCATAGCCTTTGTTGCTATTGCGCTGCTGAAAACTTATTTTTCCTTTCTTTCCTTTGCTCTTGCCTTTGCCCTTGCGAACAAAGCGAGAGCCCTTTGAAGAACCTTTGGCACGATCTCGGGAGACATAGCCACGTTCATTCTTTCTCTTTTGAAGCTCACGGCGAACATCCCTGTAAGCGGCATGGTATGCCATGATCTCAACTGCTTCAAGCTCATCGTGCTCTCGGTCCTCAAAGTAGACATATGGATAGCCCTCTTCATCTTCGTCTGAGCTGTCCAAGGGCCTGAGCATATTTGCAACTTCATCAAAGGTGCGAAGAACTGGGCCTCGAAGAGAAACCATCTCTCGTTGCAGCTCATTCAAATTGGCCTGTTTCAGCAGAATGCGGCCACACAAACGATCAGAAATCCTCTCGCCCAGCTGGGATTCCATCTCTTGCCGTTGCAACTGCTTTGTAGCAATGAATGAACTGAAAGATTCACCCTTCGCACGCTCTCCTTCGAACAGAAAAACATCAATTGCATGTGGTGCCGATGCTTCCAAAAAGGGTTGATACTTTTGACGAATTGCTGCCAAAATTGCTCCATACCCTTGTGGGGACAACAACACTTCAACAGGAACAGTATCTGCAATTCGACGAGGTTGGGAGTTCTCTGGAAAACTTTGTAACAACTTGATTCCCCTCTTGTCCATGGGAACCGTCGACTCAAACTCCCAAACGGCCAACAACTTCAGCCATGACCTCAAGGTCGAAGGAGATCCATTCCAGCTCGGGATGGCACGCTTCTCTCCTGCCAGGGCCTGATGCAAAGGACTCGCAATGAGCTGATCTGGCGACTGGCGAGTCGGCTGTTGTGGAACAGCACTGGCGGGAGGTGCATTCTTCCCAAGCAAATTGAAGGCACTGGTAGGTGGGTTCCGCGAACCTGTGGCTTGAGCTGCACTCGAAGATCCCAAGGATGAAGCGAATGCAGCTGCTGTGAAACCTGGGTTTGTCTGTTGAGATCCTTGGGACTGCACAAAAGGAGGTCGTGAAGAGGCATCAGCTTGACCGGCCTGCATGTTCCTCCAATGCATCCAGGGATCTGTAGGGGTGGTCCCAAACATCGCAACTAGTGCTCCGCCTACCACTGAAACGGTAGGATGTCAACAATCCAACAAACAATGCTCAACACAAACCCAAGTTCATGAACGAACCGATCGAACCCACGACGATATCATACGCGTCTTTCATGGCGCAGCGCGGACTAGCTCAAGGCCTGTCATTGGGCCATACGGCCATGGGGACACAAGGTCAAGTCAACCTTCTCATGAACATGAGACTCTTCCACTTCATCACCACAAAGTGGTGAAAACACAAAGAAACCAACAAATACACAAAGTAATGTCAGGACAACGCGATGCAACTAAACCAACGCAACAGAATGTTCATTGATCACGCTTGCACTGCGCCAATCGACAAACGCGTTCCAAAACGACCCCAGCTCAAGCTGCCTAAGCAATGCAATGCGTCAGAATTAAACGAGAAAAGAGAGTACAATCTGATATAAACCTGAAGCTCGGACCGGAAGCTTGGGCTTAAACAGCACGATTACAAGTGAACATACACGACCATGCAATACCCATTCATTTTCGGTTGATGCAATCAGCACTACACGCCATGTGGTTCAGACGAACTGCCAGGGCTCCGGACTTGTCTTTAGCCTCCTGGAAAAGCTTGGGATCACCTTTGGCATATGCTCAGAATTTAGGCATTGCAGCATAGATCCTTCAGAAAACATCGCGCCTCAGATTTCTTACAAGAGGTGTTAGTCGACTAGCGACTCAAAATGTTCTCTTTGTAAAAATACATCCAAGAACAACTGCAACATCTTGGAAGGTCGGACTTGCAGCAACTGATCACCATGGAAACCCAAACTGCCCAGCTGCCTTGCTCAGGGTCTTGAAAGGCTAACGCAAGCGCAGACTAGGCAAGCGAGAGTAACGGATCAGACTGGGGGCTATTTCATGTTGTTTCACCTCTCTGCCACCCTCTTCATTCAAGAGACCTGCTGTCTTGTTTGCTAACCGACCGTCTGATACATTTCTCACAGTTTCTCGATAAGTTGGCCTACAGAAAGTACTGCTATTAATTTTGATGGAATCACCTTGCATAGAGTGTCCAGGTTTTGCAATTGAGAGCGACGAGGATTATGAATGATGGGGTTTCAGAAACCTACCCTCTTGTCGTCGCAATCCGTGGAAGCAGGGTCAAAGGGCCACACCCGTAGAGCTATCCAAGTGTTCAAGTCCGTCTCCTCAAATGAAACCTGAAGGGCAATTATTTGGCGGTTGCCTCATGAAAAAAGACCAGCCAAAGTGTTGTCAGCCGGTTACAAACCAGAGCTCCCGAAAAACAACATTCACCAAAACCACGCGCGAGTCAAAACTTCCTTTGCCTCTACAGCAGCATTGTCAGAGCGGGCCCCTTCGCAGCGGTCTCTTTCATTTATGGAAATCAAACAGTTTTATCTGGAGATAGTTATGACGTTCATGAACATAATCACGCCGTACAATCTTATTTCAATAAGAACTCAACCGGCCCTGGATTTTTGATTGGGCTTATTGTTGTTCCTTTTACGAAATGTCATGGAATCGTGGTCTTCTAGGACCCTAGGAATTTTTATCAATCATCCTCATCGCTCCCGGAAAGTGAGGTGTACACTCCCATTTTATCTAAAAATGGGTCATCAAAAAAGATTTTCACAAGCAAGAGGTCTGCGCAAGTCACTTTATCAGAAGAGGGGAAAAAACCAATTTTTCGCAAAGTTCTGGAAATGGGTCTGGGAGTCATGGTTTCAACTTCTCCGTGACGAGTATCGAGTCATGAAACATTAGTGAAACACTGATTTAGAAAACGAACACACTTATGATTATGCGTACTGACTTGACAGCGGTGCCACACGCCGGCCTAAGAAACCAAATCCTGAAAAACCAGGTAAAGGGGGGCTGCGGGCCTTTAGTTAAAGAAACAACGAGCCGACGGGATGACGACGTTCCGTGCGTGACTGCCGATGCATTAGCACCTTACAAAAAGAGAAGGAAGGCAACTGAAGTCCAGGTCACCCCGGTGGCCCGAGGACTGAGAGGCATGAACGAATATCGCAGAAAGGTGGCCACCAGCTGCGTCTTACAATGCGCCCAGGTGCACCAAGCAGGTACGTTTTCACGACAGCTTGGATGGGTCTTCGTTGGCACATGCCATCCAAGTGTCCATGGGCCCCCTGCTCTACAAAAAGAAAGCACGAACAGTACAATCCGAGTGGATCCCTGTGACTACAAGGGGCACACACACACGCCTCCCCAAAGGGAGGCATATTTTGCTCTAAGCTGAGTCCAAAGCTGACACACTTATAGAAAAGCGTACTGACTCGAACGCCACATGCCACACGCCCACCTAGGTTTGAACGGCTAAGGTTTCAGGTTAGGTAGTAACTGAAAACTTCACACGGAACCTTCAAAGCCCACGAGCTCGAACTGCGGAAACGCGACAAGGTGACGACGTTCCGCGCGTGACTGCCAAGGCATTAACGCTTTACAAGAGGAAACACCTAGTAGTAAGGCCAGGAGCCCCCTAGTAGCGTCCCACGCTAAGGTCCGACAGGAGGGAGGGGTAGGGAGAGAAGACAAAAAAGGAAAGAGAAGAAAGGACAGGGGAAGAAGGTGTTCCCAGCTACTGCGCAAGCGTTCAAGGACGCACCCAAAGAAGAGAGGATAAGGGTTCCCAGCTATGACGAAAGCATCCAGGGACACCCAAAAAAGAACAAGGAGGAGGGAAAGGAAAGGAAGGAGAAAAGAGAGAGAGGGAAAAGAGAAGGAAGAGGACAGGTGTTCCCAGCTACGCACAAGCGTCCAAGGACGCGCCCAAAGAAGAGAGGAGAAGGGTTCCCAGCCATGACGAAAGCATCCAGGGACACCCAAACAAGAACAAGAAGGAGGGAAAGGAAAGGAAGGAGAAAAGAGAGAGAGGGAAAAGAGAAGGAAGAGGACAGGTGTTCCCAGCTACGCACAAGCGGCCAGGGACACACCAGTGAGAGAGGGGCGAACCTGAGTATTACAAAATGGCTGGCAGCTTTGACCGCTACGGTCACGTAAAGGCATGAGCCAGCTTGGAATGCAATAGTCCGACAAATCTTGGCAAATAACTTTGGCCTAAGCCTGCTTTGTCCGCTGTGGACTACTCTGGTCCCGGGCGCCAAAAAAACAAACCCCGGTGTTCAACGGGTCCACAGGGGGCACTCTGCAGGCTCACCCTGGGCTCTCACTAGGAGAGACACACTTATGATTATGCGTACTGGCTTGACAGCGGCGCCACACGCCGGCCTAAGAAACCAAATCCTGAAAAACCAGGTAAAGGGGGGCTGCGCGCCTTTAGTTAAATGCCACGAAACGACGAGCCGACGGGATGACGACGTTCCGTGCACGACTGCCGATGCATTAGCACTTTACAAAAAGAAAAGGAAGAAAGGTGGCCACCAGCAGCGTCTTACACGCGCCCAGGTGCACCAAGCAGGTACGTTTTCACGACAGCTTGGATGGGTCTTCGTTGGCACATGCCATCCAAGTGTCCATGGGCCCCCTGCTCTACAAAAAGAAAACGCGAACAGTACAATCCGAGTGGATCCCTGTGAAGGGGCACAGACAGACACTTAGTCAGAGGGTTTTCAGCTAACTCTATTCCATGTCGAAAGGAGTGAAAGAACGGAATGGTGGCAAGTCCGAGCACTTGTAGGTGTTTTAACAAGATGGTTTCAATCCCGCAACTGCAGCTGCAAAACCAAAGTCGGCTGAGAGCGGCTGAGGGAAACCTGCTTTGGGGAAGTGGCACGCAAAACCGCGATGGAATCAAAACAGGGAAAGTGGAATCACGGCGCGGGCAAATCTTTCAGCAGGTACGTCACTGGACGTCTCCAGTGATATCCTCAGGACACTGCAGAGAGCTTTGTTAAGTGGAGCTCTGCAGGCCTGCTCCGCTCCCCTGCATACAGAACTGCTAGGTACGGAGGGTGACACGCACACACACACACACATAGCCGCTTGCGGCGCTCCAAGAGGTGGCTGCTGTCTTTTTTGGCCGCTTCAATCATCGTCTGCAGTCAGATGCTGCGTGTCCTTTTTGGACATAGAGGTTGACAAGCTGTTCAGCTGCTGCGTCTGCCGCTGTTGTTGGAAAGGTGTAAGCGTATAGATGGTGTGTAGTCGCGAGGCAAGTCCTGAGAGTGTAAGCCGTTTGCTACCGGCACTGGTGGCGTCCCGGGTTTTCCAGGATTTTGTGGGTTGAATGTGAGAGATTGTGCGTTGGGTGAGATCAATGTCGAACCCTAAGAGGTGGTTGTCATCAACGGTCTCAAGTTCCACAGGGTCCCCAAAAAATCGTGGTGAATGAGGGTCTGGACGGCTGGGTGTGAGAGGAAATGCTCGTTGTGGGCGATGAAATGGTTGTCGACATAGCGATAGTAATTGAAATGGAAATTGGTACGGTGCAAGGGATTGTTGTGGAGCTGCTGCCAGGAATGTTCGATGAGAGTGATAGCCACGTTGCAGAGGGCGGGTGACAGCTGGCCAGCGCCACGAATCTGCTGATAAGCGTGGTCGCGTGCCCGGAAAATGCGTGTGTTGAGTGCAAAAGTCAAAGGGGAGTGATGTCGGCGGCATGGAGGGTGCGTTGTGTAGGACGCCTGTAATGGTGTCGTCCAATGTGAGAGTGGTGGTACGGATTGCCTGTGGCCTGGGTGTGAATGGTGATGGTGTGGGTGGAGCGTTGAACCAAGCTGTGGACAGCATCAATGAGGCGGTGTTGGGGGACAGAATTGAAGAAACCTACAAGGTCATCGTTTGTGGCATGGAGAGTGATGTCAGAAGGGACCTGGGCGAGATACGTGTGGAAGCGTTGCCATAACTGGGGTATAGAGAGCTGGCCAGGGTGTTGGGGGTAAAGGTGTTGCAGAATGATGTTGCTCTGCTAGTGATGCGGAGAAGGTTGCCTGCAAGGGAGTGGTAGTAGGAGATGATGGTTCTGCCTTTGTGCAACTGCTTCTTCTCTTTGAGGTGGACGATGCCGTGCGGGATGGTGAACTCTTTGCGGAGTCCCCATTTGCACCGGGCGCGGAGGCCGCTAGGAACGGTGGCCAAAAGGTGGTCGTTGATGTTGAGTGGAGTCAGGCGGGGTATAGTGGTTGGAAAAGTTCAGGCGCTCGCCAGGTGTTAAGGGCGCCTCGGAAATATTGCTGTGGACAAAAGATGCGGAGCTGTTGCAGCTCATGGTCAGCGTGGCGCAGGACGACTCGGTCGCCGTGATATTCCTGCAGTTGGCGGATCAAGCGCGCTGTAAAGTGTGGTGTTTGTTTGAGGTGGGAGATGTGGAGTCGCCATTGGTGATGGAGGAAAGATTCGGTGTGTTGTACGAGGGATGGTGGGAAGCCTTGAGTGCGGAGCCATTTGCGAAAGGCTGTTTGGAAGGCTAGCACCTGGCTTTGGTAGGCGGGAAAGCGCTGTTCATGTTGGCATTGAAGAAAATGCGGAGGTGGGGAGGAAGCTGGAGGTGATCAAGGGTAAGGATGTAGTGCCCGTCTGTGGTGGGATGGTCTGGATCCATGAGAAGCGTTTTGAGATGGTCACACGCGCAAGGAAGGTCGAGTGGACCCGCTGGGGTGAGTAGAACGTCTTCCCATTTTCGATGGTTGTGGAGCTGGCTGCGGAGTGTCTTGTGAGCTGCTTCGCGGAGTCGATGTGTAGGAAGGTGAAGTGGGATGGCAAGGGCCTTGTGTTGGATGATGGTTCGTAGCCACTGCTGAGTTTCAGTGGTAAAAGTGTCACGAGCCAAGAAGGGTATGGTGAGGGGGGACGTTCGCACGAGGTGGAGTGAGGTTGCGATACTGCATGGCTTGCAGCGCTTTGGTGCGACCTGGTTCTTCCAGGTTGGCTGCCATGCGGCGGCGGCGAATAGCGTAGAGTTCTAGGCCCGCGTGGCGGCCACTACGTAGTTGCTTGGCAGCTTCAAAAGAGTCGGCTGTGCGTTTGGTCAAGTTGCGCAAGTGGGCAGCCGAGCGCTAGCACACTTCAACAAGACTGGAGGAAAGCCGACAAGACCGGAGAGAAAGGGAGACCAGAGACAAAGGAAGACAAGGCGGACGCAATGACCAACAAGAAGGGAGATAAGAAGGGAGACAAAGGAGACAGAAGGGAGACAAGGCGGACTGTTACCAACAAGAAGGGAGACAAAGGGAAACAAGCCGGACGGAAGGCAGACACGCTGTCCTGGGAGACAAAAGGGAACAGAGGAGAGTGAGGGCATGGTGTTTGGTGGAGGTGAAGAGATGTGGTTCGCTGATTGTTTGCTGACGCCGTCGAAGTCGTCGGAAAAGCCGCTTGTGGGTGGCAAGGCGGGAGAAGAAGTGAGCTCTACGTTTGGTGAATTGCCAGCCTTGGGCTTTCAGATTAAGGCGGCGCGAAACGAAAGTTGAGAGGGGGCGCCCAGTTAGAAATGTGGTTGCGTTCGTGAATCCAAGCTTGGTCATAAGCGTCGCTCGAGGAAAGTTGAAAAGCGGTGTACTGGTCAATGGTGTTGCGGGTGTGCCAGTGGTGGAGGAAAAGTTCAGCTGAGATGGGAACATTGTTTTGAAGTTGTTTGAGCTTGGCTCGCCGGTTGTCTTCGCGATGTGGAACGCCGATAGCTGTGGAGCTAATGTAGAAATTGCCATGTTGGTGGTAGCATCGGTGTGGTAGTTGAAGGTTGAAGTAGAGTTTGACGTAAACTGAGTTGGGGGAGAGCAAACTGGCGAAAGCGCCTTTGCCATTGCTGAGAACGTTGGGTGTTAGAAGGGTAGGCAAAAAGTAGAGTGAGATGAAGTAGGCCGGTGGCAAAAAATGGCGTCTGCTCGTTCAATGTAGTAGGTGGCTCGGTGGATGAGTGTGGAAAGGGCTCTGCGCAGCCGAAAAAGTTGTTGCACGTTGGCAGTGTGTGGTGATGTGGTGACTGCTGAGCTATGTAGCTCAGTCAGCAGGCAAGGGCGGCCCCCGCACTGACTAAATTTTGCAGTGTTTTGCGGGGGACTTATTCAGCTTGTTCAAAGGGAGCCGGTAGCGAGCGCCTGCTTCGCGGAGTTGCTCTTGGGCGCACTTGCTCGTTTGGAGGAGACGAACAATGTCCTTGGCTGATTCTTGGATGGCTTCATCAAAGGTGGAAAGCCAAGCGTTGATGGCAGGCATGGACCACGCTTCCGGAACGTCATCCTTGAGGGAGGGGTGTGGTGGTTGAAGGACGTCAGCCAAGACTGGAGGTTTGTGGGCGCCTGCTTTGGGGAGTGTGGATGGAGCGGATGGGGTTGAACTGTTGGCGTCCTTGCGGGGGGGTGAGGGTCAGCTCATGTGTCTGGAGTTTTGCTTGGGCTCTTTCAAGCTCCTCGCTTTTAGCCTGAAGCTCACGGATGGCAGAGCCTTCTGCCGCGGCTGGAGCGTGGGCAGCCAGGTGAGTTGTAACGAATTCGATAAGAGGAGCGAGGTAGGCGTGCGCTTGAGTGGTTTTGTGTAGAATGTCGGCGCCTTTGGCATGGTGGAGAGCCTCTGAAGGAGGTGCGTGATGAAGACGGATTCGGCAATACTGCGGGTCGGAACGAGTCCGCAATATTTACCATGGCTCAAGGTTCGAGCCGTAAAGTCCCCCCGTGCCATGGTATGCGAGCAACCAGGGGTACACGTCGAAGATGGGTAGTCCCACGATGCCCACCTTGCGGGACCATTGGGCGGGCTGGATAGTGCGGAAAAGCTGGTGGTTGTAGAGGACGTTCGCGTCCCAATGAGTATCTGTGGATCGGTGGCTTGGGAAAGGGTACAGTAGCAGGAGGTGTAGGAGATGTGGTGTGGTGTGTTGGGCTGTGCGTAAAAGAAGAATTTGTTGGGGGTCACCGGCGCTGACGGTGGTGTTGCGGCTGCTGGAGGAGGTGGTGGCGGAGGAAACTCCGGTTGTGTTGGTGGCGGGAGGTGTGGGCGCTGGGGGAGTGATGGTAAGGCTGACGCTGGTGAGCCTGATGGGTGTGGATGGCATGAGTCATAGGTCCGTATGTGTGCGCAGGCGTGTAGTGGGCGCCTACTTGCGGCTGGTGGGCCTGCTGGTGCAAGCAATGGTGCCAATAATACGGTTGCCATTGCGCGTCCATGCTGAGCGTGTGGGTCGCTGAAAACGCGATAAGAGCAAGTTCGAGCAAGAAAAGCTGAGAAGTATAATGGTCATCTGTCAGCGCGGCTAGCAGCACAAGAAATCAAGCGGCAGCGCAAAACGCTACTTTTCCAAAGACTGATGACGGTCATGGTCGGTGTTTGGCGCTGAGGGCCTTTGAAATCCTTGAAAGCTGCAATAGTGGTCGCCTAGGCATCCAATGAAAAACAGAAACCGCAGAAACACCGCGCGCGAAGAACTCGAGGGTGACCGAAAACAAAGGAGACAAAAAAGTCGGTGGAAGTGACATAGTAGTAGCAAAAGGTTGGATATGCGGGTTGGACCATTATTGGAATGCGCTCTGCGTTCAGAGTCAGAGCCGTCAGAGCTTCAGGGGCCCGGAGCGTTCCACGGATCATTGCTGGCGCCATAATCTTGTTGGTGTAGTGGCAATGAACGCCCCATCGCACCGTAGTTCTGTGGGTTGGGAAGTGGTTGGAGAAAAGGTGCGTTGAGGCAGCGTTGCGGATGGCTGTTGAGAGGGAAGTGGTGTCACGCAAGGTGCGGAGTGCGGATAGTTGGCATACGGCGCCGGGCTGGTGAAAAGTGCAGGATGCGGCATGGCACAGGCCTGGGCCGGTGCTTGCATAGGCTGGGTCGGGGGCCACCACCCTGGGGGTGGCCGTTGGACTGGCTGGGCCTGTTGGTGGAAATATGCCGCTTGCTGGTTGGCCGACGGTTGGGGTGGCTGTTGGTAGGCCCATGGAGCTGGGCGCTGTTTTGGAGCGATGGCGGTGCTGTGGTGATGGTGACCCGCGTCGCGTTTGGGCGGTGTGGGGACGGCTTTGCGAGCGGGGCGGCGTTTTGGACCGCCCGCAACGGGGCGCGCCCCCGATGCGGTTCGCAAAGTCTCCAGGCAGCGCAGGGGGAGGTGGCTTGGGAAATTGTGAAGATATTGGATCGAGTCCATCACAAGGACGTTGGGAATGAGGTCGGCGTATTCATGGCCGTATTCTCCCGGCTGCTTGTTGGCGGCATAGGTAAGGTTGGCCACGGGAGAGCGTGCTCGGGTGACACGGGAGAAGGCTGGGGAGAGGGGTTTGTGCCTGGTTTGAGTTGGGATTGTGGTGTTTGGGTAGCTGTAGCGCTGCCTGTCACACGATAGGTGCCCGCCCAAATCACAGGGCCGGTTCGCTGGTCTGAGTGGACAGCGAATGGTGGAAAGTAGGAGGTCTGGGTGGCAATGTGTTGCATTGGAATGGCACTTGTAGGTAGTCGGTAAAGGATGTTGCGAGTGACGGGAGGGCTTTGGCCGGGTGCGAGGCTCGGCCGGTACAGTGGCGGGGTCGATGTTGGGATCGTTGAGAAACGTGGTGGCGGCGTGCACGTTTTTGGATAGAAACGATGTATATGTGTGTTGCGCATTCAGCAAAGCCAGAGATGCGTGTGTGGCAGTGGGTGTTTCGACGCGAGAAGATGCGTGGATCACCTCAGGAGAACGTTAAAGCACTCTCCAAAATGTGGAACACAAAGTAGTTTTGGCAAGTGGCGAAAATAGGGTGCGCACTGCGCACGCGTGTGCCACAGGGTGACTGGGGGCGTCATGACTGACTTGCCGGCAAGACCAGGCGCCCGGTGGCGTCGTTCCCAAGTAGTTAGCAGAGTTGGTATGTACAGTGTACAGTAATTAGTTGGGCAGAATGTGTCTTGTTTGCATCTTATTTATGAACATAGCTCAAACTACTTGGATGCTATGTTCAACTTGCGGTAGAAATTGGCACACTTCTCACATGCTAAGTTGAGGTTAGCGAACTTGTAACCTGACTTGTAACCTAGGTTACAACTTAGGCATTGAAGACTTGCAAGCACATATGTATATATATATATATGCGGTATGTTGACTAGCCTAGTTGGTGTTTGGATGGTTGGAGTTGGCAGCTGTTCTTCAAGAAAAACCATTCGCAGGTGCTTTCAAGACAAAGAACATTGCTGAAGCATGCTGAAGCCTCACAAACCATATTCAAGACCCACTGCAGTACCAGGCTAGTCACGATGGGAGACACAAAACGAGTGTGAAAACTTCCTGCATTCCTGCCTGAAGGTTTCTTCGGCTTCTTGGCCACAGGCTCCTCACAAAAACAAAGCAAGGAAGCTGGGACACAGTTGAGGCGTGTATTTCTGCTATGCATGCCGCTACCTAAAAAAGGGCTCTCAACACATTGAAGCTACTTCAAATGCAATATGTGCTTTGGCTGGAATGTTACTTGCTTCTTCCCTCTTCGTCAAATGTCCGGTAGGCATACAAAGGAGTGCCTGATGTAAAGAATGGCTTAAGCTTGCTTAAGCACTGTACGGTTGGAGGTTTGACCCTCTCCTCAGCACTGGCCAGGAGTCTCTCGACCTGGGTGGCGGTCTTCAACTTGCGGAATCAACATGTCTTGCAATTGACGGTGTTGCCTCGCTGCAACATTCTGCTTTCCAGGAGGCCTTTGGTATCTATTTGCGTTCGACTGTTTTGTGTTTTCATTTGTACTCGATGCATTTCCAGGCACTTTGTCACTTTGTCATGCACAAAATGTCTATCACAGCGCAAGCAACAATATTTTTCACAGACCCAAACACTGTAGTGTGCTGCCATGCCGTCAATGATTTAGCATACAAACAATGAAAAGACAGTCATTTGCAGGGTCCGAGCCAGTTCTTTCTTGCGCCCGCTGACTTTTAGGCCTTTGCTGCCTTCAATGTTGTCAATGTCCATCTTGTGCATTTAAAGCTAGGGATGATAAAGTTTGTAATTGAGGCTTGGTGACTTGGTGGAACATGATCTAGTGTAGATATCGTCGCCACATGAAGCTGTACATTATGTTCAAGAAACGACCCGTGAGGCCCGTGAGTCACACTTGATGCTCTTGCTTCTCAGCGTCAAACGCAGGAGCTCTTTAAGATCTGACACCTTCTTCTCCTGAAAACAATTTGAACAAAGCTAACTTTGCACCACCTTTTGTCTTGTCAGCAATCTTAATATCGCCCAGCCTGTAGGGATGTCTGCTGCGCACGTAGCCCCTCAGCTTGAAATGTTGGGTGTCTTGTAAAACTATTTAATATATTTTCAACTAGTCCAACGTTCCATTCCTTCAGGCCCTGACGATCTGCGCAAAGCAGCAAAGCTGAATGCACCCCATGGCTGTGGCAAGTAGGCTGAGCCTGCCCAATGCCAGTTGCCGTCACAGCTGATACGGTCTGTTGAATTGACAATATCTCAAACGTGTTAAAAGAGATTGACTTGAAGACGCACATTACGAACTTCCACCTGCCCACACGCCGGGTGCCGCCTGAGTGCTGCCAACTGCCAATACAATAAAGCTAAAGGCAAACGGTGAACACGATACAACTGCTTGGAATCAGCACTACTTGCAATATATACTCTAGGATTCTCCGTTGGCATTGGCATCTGGAGAATTATATGAATCTAAATGCAAAAACCTCAGCAGCCTGCTTTCAGAGATCATGGCTAGAACTCGACCCCAAACCCGTTGAAACCTGTCTGCATGTTTTAACCTAGCATTAGTCAATATGTTGGTTTGTTGTTGGTCTATCTGGCGACCGACACCATCCTCTCTGCAGCAAAACCGAAAATCAAAGACTAATTTAAAGTCTATATACAGTAAAGTTGTTTTAAACATATCAAGGCATCTTTGTCCTGCAATGTGAGCCATCATGGCCAGAGAAGATCACTCTGTGAAGTGAATGCTTATGTTGTGGGGTCCTACCTTCTTCTTGCTGTTCCAGTCAGAAGATAACACACCAGTACGCAAATACCTCCGCTATGCGACATCATACAATAGTGCCTGGCAAAGTGGTGGCAGTCGTGCCCTTTCATTCTTTCATTGGCCAGCCCGAGCATATGGCCCTATGCCTTCATGAACTTCACGAGTTGCACATTTGCTTCAGGTGACCTCACTGCAGGAGACTTGGTTCCAAGTGGCGCAATGTGACTCAATGAAACGTGAAGATCTGTGACCCAGTAGTGTTCCTGTGAGTATTACTAAGAGACGATAAAAGCAAACCACTTAGAAAGTGTTCAAAACAAAACGTAGCATCTTGAAGATGCCAGCCAGCCTCAGTTTGAGGCCTTTGCCGCCGCCTCCTCATTTGGAGAAAAAAATGATTCTTCAGATTTTTTGAGGGAAACTTCGGATCTTGTGCCTTACAAGCATGGCATAAAACATGAATCTGGTGGTGGGCTGTTGTCAACAGGCGCTAGGGTCTGGTAATCAGCTTCCATCAACACCACCACAGGCATCCGATCAAATGATCATGTTGCATCCCGCGGAAGCGACCAAAAATGGAAGAAATCCGCCGGCCTGCCGGCGTGTTTTGTGGATTGTTTTGGTTAGTATTGCGTGTGTTGGTTTCAACCTACGGTTTGTATCTCCGCGCGGATTTTTCGACAGCCTGACGCCCCCCACCCCCCCCTCCCCCCCCCCCGCTACGTCTAAGGTGATTGGACTGAGACATGTCGATCGCTGGATCAGAATAGACAACCATTGGACTGAGACATGTCGATCGCTGGATCAGAATAGACAACCTCTGATTCGGATTCGTTCGATTTCATTGTAAAACGACTTCGCTTGAAATCAACATCAACAAACTCTCCCAGCAAAATGTGCAACTCCAATGCACCCACAAGTCTGATTGAGCAGGGTATTGTTGTTCGATGTCATTGTGGGTCTTTCATTTCAAACGGTTTGGAGAAAAAACGACAAATCATGCCAGATCTAGAAATTCTTCGGTCGCTTTGAAGCCTTCTGTGTGTGAAAAAGAATATCCGGTGCGTGTCGCAATCCCTCGAGACGGTCGAAAAAAGATCTGAAAAGGAAAACATGCAAACGGCCAAGTAGTTTGGAAGAAGAACCGTTTTCAAGGTCATGTTTTGTGGATAGTCTTGGTTCGCATTGCTTGTGTTGGTTTCAATTGGTTCCTCTTAGGTGATTCGACTGAGACATGCCGGTTCGGATCGCTGGATCAGAATAGACAACCTCTGATTCGGGTTCGTTCCATTTCATGGTCAAACAACCTTGAAATAAACATCAACAAACTCACCCAGCCAAATGTGCAACTCCAATGCACCAACAAGTATGATTGAGCAGGGTATTGTTGTTCGATGTCATTCTGGGTCTTTCATTTCGAACGGTTTGGAGAAAAAAAACGACAAATCGTGCCAGATCAAGAAATTCTTCAGTCGCTTTGAAGCCTTCTGTCTGTGAAAAAGAATATCTTGTGCGACTCGCAATTCCTCAAGACGGTCGAAAAAAAGATCTGACAAGGAAAACATGCAAAAGGCCAAGTAGTTTGGAAGAAGACTCATTTTCAAGTACCGGTTTTGTGGATTGTCTTGCTTCGTCTGGCTTGTGTTGGGTTCCATTGGTTTCAATCTACGGTTGGTTTCAATCTACAGTTTGTTTCTCCGCGCGGATGTTTCGACAGCCTGCCCTGCCCCGGTTGCTTCAGACTAGGCCATGGCGAGAACAGGAAAAAGCGAGTTGAATCAAAGAGACGTGCCGGATTATATAGCTGCTTCAGCCTAGAAGAGGTGATCTTGTCCCTGCCTTGGAACGAAAATAGAACTGTGGAACACTGTTAATAAGCATCATTAGGCTGCCTGCCAATGCGGGCTCAAGCTGGTGGCCGGCGGCATGCCGAAGGCTGTAAATAATGGAAGTATATGTTTATTTGGCAATTTAATTCCTTGGCAACCTTGAATCGTATTGAATCTATGCTGCAAAAGCTGAAAGCATCCTGTAATGTGATCTCCCTCCTGTGTTTGTTTACGGACTTTCTTATTTGCTAGTCGTGCCTGTGGCTTCACGCATCAACTGCTGTGGTGGCTGGTAGATGCCCACAGGGTCTGAGAGGTCTATCTTGTCCAAAGTGGAAAATACCTCCGACCAATCATCGTTCCGGTTCCTGCCATTCCTATGTTGTTTGTAAACTTCGATATGTTGGAGTCTTTGATGACCGCATGCGACATCCTTGAACCCTTGACGGTCTTGTGTGCCGCAGTTCGTTGAAAGTTCCTTCATCGTTGTTAGTAATGACCAACTCACAACTTCATGATCGATGCATGTTTCTAATGCAGGCAGGTTCCATCAACTAGCTTCTAACAAGCTTATCAATTCAGCCCAAAATAACAAATGCCTGCAACTTCAAACTATGCCTGATTCTCAAGCCATGGAAATCTGAGCGCAAGGCCGTCCAGGCCCGAATCGTTGAAGATCTTCTTGTTAGTGACTATGGAACCTGTGGTGCAAGACAAGCACCGGTGACAAAAGGCACCTGAAACTATTTACCTGGTCACTTCCCACCGGTTGGGTCAGGACACTCTCAACTTCCACACGCAATCCCTCGCCTGGGCTGCAGATTGGCCTCCAACAGCAATGTTGAAGTCGGACAGCCTGGAGAAAAAACATTTGTCAAAGCATCTTCAATGCACCTCGAAAAAACATATATCAATGAAGTGGACAAATGCAACTGTCTTCATCAAAGTTGAAAGCCCTTCTCCACACATGGACCCAAGACCGTTGTCTGTGGTCTGGATTCTAGTGAGTGTCGGTCTTACAAGAAAAAGAACATCCATGAGTCCTTTAGTTTTGAAGGACAACCAAACTCCTCCACATCAAACAGGCCAGGCGCCACGAGCAAGTCATGTGCCACCAGTCAGCTGGCAGAAGGATGGCCTGGTTGATGGCAAGACAGAGCAGCAAAGACTGATGTGACTGAGTTCAGTATTGAGCCCCACACCTGGGACAACAAAAGGTCAAAGACAAACTGTTCATCAAGACCCAAGGCAATCGCACCGAAACTAGAAACTAGACAGAAGATTAAACGCCGCACAAATGTGCACAATATGTCTTGAAAATGTGCCCTTGCTGCGCTGCTCTAACAGCAAAAAAACGCGTGTCAGTGCCAAACAGGCTCGTGTATTTCCCCCATACGGTTTACAAAAATCTCAACGGTGGCCTCAGCGGCGTTTGGTTAACTGTTGACGCATGTATGCCCATCGTGGCCAGGCTGTCGTGTGTTTTCAAGGCTACAATAAATTTGGTTTGATGATTAGCAAACTGATTGAAACCAAACAAACTTGTGTGTTTGTTCTTTTGGCCTTTGGCGCTTCTGTCTTGATGTCACCATAGTGCTGGTCTTTTATATATAACATTTTGTCTTGCATCGGCCGTGCATCTTTGAGAGAGCTGTCACCACGTTCACGGTGTTTTGTCCCCACCAAATCTCAACCAACTGCCGTTGTTGCATAGGTTATATGCCGGTGCACTGGTGGGCGCTCTCTGTTCCGCATGCGTGCTTCTCTTGCTGCAAACTGGCGACACTCGCACTTGGGATGTGACATACTCTTCCATGTTCCTGAAGGGGTTCAGGGGTGACATGCGTGCGGTGAAAAATCTACGACTCGCATGTCGCATTGTGCAAGTCGTCGCACCTCGCCAGGGTGCTGCACGCACCTCGTCACGCCATTGGGCACCAGCTCCTCCAAACCCGCCCCAGCCAACACGCCTAAGATAGGCCTAACCCTTCGAAGCAAGCCCTGCCCCGCGGGCCGCAGGCACACGCCCACTTTGGAAATTAACTGACTCAGCCCACAAGTGAACAGTTCAGACCTTGTGCATCACATTCCGAGGAGCCCAGGCTCAAGTGGTCAGAACACGCAGGCGGGCAGGCAACGATCCAAAGCTGCCACAATACAGCCACAGGCACACGAAGCAACATAACCAAGGAGCCGCAGCGAACAACCAATGATACACAGAAGGTACACCAGCCAGCCCTGCCTTTGCCAAAGGACAGGAAATGATCTCAAACAACATTTAAATTGTGGGGTCGCCGCACACCTGCGAGTGACTCATGGCCTACATGCCACGCAGTCATGGGCTCGCGCCAGAATGTTGACACCGCCAGCGACAAAACGCGTTTACAAACTCATGCTTCCCGTTCCCCAACGGCACGGAGCCACATAAACGCACTGTCCACTGGGCTGCGTCAATCCACATGGCACAGCGACATCACGCACATCACATAACATTCACATAACTATGCCGCACAGCAAACGGAAAGACTCATTGGCACTTTACTGCAAAACACCGCATGATACAGTACAGCACTGGCCACTTGTGATCACATGAGTTCCAATCGTGGAAGAATTGCAGTTATGTGACTTTGGTGTTACATCATATCACGACGCGATGGAAAGGTCTTCGTTGGGCAACACTTTCGTAGAGTGGACACGAACACACAAAAATGTCTACACGACATCGATGGGTGAACGCCCAAGAGTTAGACGTTGCGGAATTAAACGAGACCGAGAACGCACTCGGCCCAGCAAAAAACTGTCAAGCTCAGGGACGAATCCTCTGCTGAATCAGTCCTCTTGAAGTAGCCAGGAACAGGGCCAACCACCTTCCTCTGGGGTCAAAGCCTGCAGCTGGACATCAGGCAAGTTCTGCTGAGCATCGACGATGCTGCATCATGTTCGAATTCTTTTTGTCATATGGATTCACGATTCACGTGTAATCAATCAAACAACAGTCGAGGTGAGTGTTGTTGCCAATATACAAAGTGCGACTTCAGCAAGTCTTTGCCGACTCATCCCACTTGGAGATACTAAGCAAAGCCGGAGACTTTCCAACATCCCAGCCTTGTAGGGGAAGCTAGGCCGTCCAGGTGCATTCACCGAAGGTGCTGGAGGTGCCACCCACCAAAGCTGATCAGGTTCAATGTGCTTTCTCTGCAAGTTTTGCTTCAAAGCGTATGTGGCTTTTGCTGAACACAGCGTTTCCCACCTTGCGCCCAGCCAGGGATGCTAACCACGCTTCTCTGTGCCGATGCATTCCTGAGGTGATTCCAAACTCTCTCCTTCAAGACAAAACATCCACAGTCTTCACTCACATCCTTAACGCCTTGGCACCACACCGTGCCCCGCAGCCAGACCATCCATGGCAAAGATACGGAGGTCTGTGCTCAAAGGTGGATGCAATTCTGCCTCCAAGGCCTGGCATCTGTGCCTACAGCTCAGTACTCTGTCTCAGAAAAATTGCCACTGCTATGAGGTTTCCTTTCTGGGGCCCTCTTACCCACTGGTTTTCCATGCTGTATTCATGTCTTCACCTTAAATCCGTGCACCTTGAAGAAACGATGACGAAGCTCCACCCGGCTGCCCTGCCAAATCTCAAAGCATGGCAAAGCCACAAAGGCTCTCAGAAATCCTCACAGTTGGACATGAACAAGTTGGGTGGAGAAGGCCTGTATTGTGCTGTTCACCTCATCCCGGAGGAACAAGAAAATGTTGCGGGCCGTGGCGTTGCGGATCTGCAAGTACCTCAGTGAAGAGCATCATGGCGAGCATAAAATCGAACAGTAGTTCGAACAGTCCTGAAAATGACCCCAAAGGGCACTCCCCTGCTCAAGCGTCATTGGGGCACTACCGTGCAGTCTGTTTCCTTCCGTGTGCGGTAAGAATTTGTTGAAATTGTTTTATATTGCCCCAAAACAACTGACCCTATTGCCGCCCCAGCACAGGCGCTCCATGTTGATTCCCTGCAACTGTCAATAGTCATCTTGCCCTGCTAGGCCCTCTAGGCGGCCAGGTTCATCGTATTCACTATTCCAGTCTGTTGGGAGAAGTTTTGAACTCTTTGAACAGCATGCTGCTGAAGCACTGAAACATGAGACTGTGCAAGCTTCGATACAGAAAAAGGTCTGTTTCCAATGCAGACCAAGAGACTCTTGGAAAGATACCTCAACCGCCTCTGGCAGCAGTTCACCCTGCACAAACACTTCTCAGCCATGACCAAATCCATGATTTTTTCAGTTTGTTGATTTTTTCTGATTCCTTCAACGTTGGCCACAAACTCGTAGCCTTCTGGCCGACCAGGGCCAACCACGGATCACGCCTCAGAAAAATTACCATGATGGTACAGTTGCGACATGTTACAGCCTATATAATACTATAATATATATATATAATACACATGGTTTAAAGCAACATGTTCCTTTGCCATGGAACCATCAGGTCAGTATTGGATCTTCATGCATGGCCACAAAATAGGGTCTAAAACTATAGATCCTGCGCCATTGTTAATACCTGCTGAACATGGAGAACGTGGGAAAACCAAAGCCCTACAAAGCCCTATCAATGATGTCAGTTCGTGGATACTGCAGCAACTACATCGACCTTCTCACCGGTTTCCCTCAAGCGACAACGCAAAGTTTTCAAACCCGATCAAGGCGCAGAAAGGTGCTCAAAGGCCAGCGCCACTCCTAGAATAAACTGAAGAAACATTAATGGGAACAGCGCCATCAAAAAAAATTATACAAGCGTAGACCCCAAACAGCTTCAAGACAATTCGTTTAGACCAATATTAGTCAAAAATCGAGTTCTTGGTACGCCCTACTTTCACTCCAAGAGCAAACTACTTCATCAATGAATTTTTGTCGGCATTGACATCGCCATTTGTTCGGCCACACTCCTCTCCAGTAAGCCGGGCCACAGAGACCAGCCACAGAGTTCAGGGGCGCGGCCAAGACAAGGACAAGAGGAGGACAAGAGCCCAGTAAGCCGTCCATAGCACACGACGCGCTCGCCCTGCTCTCGCTCTCTCTCTCTCTCTCTCTTTGTCTTTCTTTCTTTCTTTCTGTCTGTCTGTCTTTCTTTCGTTCTTTCGTTCTTTCGTTCTTTCTTTCTTTCTTTCCTTCTTTCCCTCCTTCCTTCCTTCCTTCCTTCCTTTCTTTCTTTCTTTCTTTCTTTCCTTCTTTCTTTCTTTCTTTCTGTGTCTCTCTCTCTCTCTCTGGCTCATTCTCTTTAAGTGTTTTTTCTCTGTCTTTCTCTCTGCACAGCGCGCTCTGAGCGCGCCTTTCTGGAGCGTGAGCGCGCCGTCCATAGCACGCGGGCGCACGCGCGCTCGCCCTGCTCTCTTTCTTTCTCTCTCTCTCTCTATCTCTCTCGCTCTCTCTGTCTCTCTCTCTCTCTCTCTTTCTCTTTAAGTTTCTCTTTCTCTGTCTTTCTCTCTGCAGAGCGCGCTGTGAGCGCGCCCTTTCTGGAGCGTGAGCGCGCCGTCCATAGCACACGAGCGCACGCGCGCTCGCCCTGCTGTCTTTCTTTCTTTCTTTTCTTTTCTTGTCTTGTCTTTTCTTTTCTTTTCTTGTTCTTGTTCCCCACATCTTAGTGTGGGGTTCTTCTTTTCTATTTCTCCCTCCCTCCCTCCCTCCCTCCCTCCCGCCCCTCCCTCCCGCTCCTCCCTCCCTCCCGCTCCTCCCTCCCTCCCTCCCTCCCTCCCGCTCCTCCCACTCCTCCCGCTCCTCCCGCTCCTCCCGCTCCTCCCGCTCCTCCCGCTCCTCCCGCTCCTCCCGCT